AGGAGGTCACGGGAGTTCTGGTCTGAGCAGGAGACTATTAACTGTTCGTAAGCGGCGGTTTCATGATGACCTGAAGGGGTAAAGCCGTAGGAGCGTAAAGCACGCGTTTTATGGTGAGTACGGAGATGGAAGAAGGCAAACGTCTTATGAAAAAGTAAAGTAAACCGTGCCTACTATAACGAACTTAGTAGTTAGTTATGTATAGTAAAAGCGGATGTTATACACGACAGGAAGGCGATATACTCCTGCAAACATGGTGTAACCTGTGCTCGGCAAATACTAGCAATCATTTCAGTAAAGGCACATGCAGCCGATTTCGGAATATTCAAAAAAACGGATACGAAGCTGCAGATCAGTGTGCAGAGAGCGGCACTTTAGAATGCTTTCAGGTCACGTCAAAACTCGGACTAGAACGCCACTGAACTACCGCTCAATTTAGGTGCACATCTCAGTTGGTGCCCCTGGGGGTAGCGTTAAACATGATACCGACTTACCAGGCCATTGGATCATCAGGGCCTTTTCATTGTCTCTCAGTACGGAGACCCTAACGTTGGTCAGAAGAAGACGGATCTGTAGATATAGAAAAGAAGGATATGAGTTTAAAAAAGGCAGAGCACAGCAAGTCAGGAGAATGCTTGACTTTGAATGGGGTTTCCCACCGACAGTTGGCATCCAGACTCTGCCCGTAGAAGAACTATGTTAGGATGCAATCAGGGAATACAACACACTTCGCCCGCACGCGACGTTAATTATAACTTTTTCTCCAGCTATTCACATTCAAATGGTTGAAATCTGTACTAGATCATACCAAAACAACGTCCACTTATTTATCTTAACTGCTGAATGGATGTTGGCATTTTCGTTTTGCCTTGGGGGTCACGAAGGACTGGCGGTCAATTATGGGGAAATGCTACTGGCAAGGACAGTGGTCACAACTTATTGACTTGACTGGGAGCGGTAGTGGGAGTGAGCCCTAGTCGTCTACTGTAGTCTAACTAGTTAGCTGGGGTTGTTTTGACCGCTCCTATGATGGAAAGACGGGAATAAGGGAAGGTGGAGTCTTCAACTTTTCTCTGTAGTCAATCAACGACAAAAACTCACAATGGCAAGACGATACGAGTACGAGCAACAGAATTTAGGTCCGCGTATTAC